AATATATTTGGCAGCTAAAGCATTTGAAATATCTGGGTCCAACATATAGACTGCAAGTCTGCTTTCTATTCTCTTGCATTCAAACTTTTCGCATGTAAACTTAACTGGGTCCCAAGCAGTTCCAGCAGCATTGAAATAATAGTTTACTTCATTGTTGAAGTTTGAGAAACCAAAGTCTAAGTCAACTTTGTCTTTGCAAAATTCGGCGAATGACGTTTGATTTGTTCCCTTTACGTCTGTAATAGTGAATGGGTCTTGTGTTGGTGCAATGACTAAGTTATTTTTGCTTGGAGTAAGTTCGATAGAAATTTTTCCTGCCCAGTTTGGCAAGTATCTTAAAAACCTGAAGATGAGGAAAGATGACAAAGGAACTCTAAGTTTCAGTTTTACTTTAGTGGCAGCAGTTCCATCTGAACCAGAAAGGTTAACATAAACTCCTGGAACGTTAGGGTCAAGTCTTCTTATTTTCTCAATATTTGCATACTGGTCTGTTTGTTCTCTAGCTTGTGGTTGTACTGAGTTTCTCAAAGCGAACCATTCATAGTTTGCCCATGTTACTGTTTGAACTAAGTCAGAGTTAGAATATATCTTATATCCCATGAAAACTTCTGGAGCATATTGGTATCCGACATAGAAAATTCCATTGCAACCTTTCTTGTCAGACAACTTGGCAGAAGGTTTTATTTCAATGTCTTGTTCCACGTATAAGAATGAGTTGTCAATAGAAATAATATGAAACCTGTCGCAAGCAATATCTACTGTTGTTGAAGAACCTTCTCCAAACTCACCTACGTTTCCATAAGAAACAGCAGTTGTATATTCGTAAGTTCCAGGAACTATTTCTGACCTTCTAATGGCATTGTCGCATTCGTTATACCATTCGGAAACATTTCCGTTCATGGCATCCAAAACTGTTGGCGTTATATTCTGAGCGGCGTACATTTCATATGGGTAAAAATATAGAATAGTTGGATTTATGTGTCATAATAGAACCCACTCGGACCAAGCTTTACTTTCTTCCTGACTGAGTTTTTAACTCTTCTTTTTCCTTCATTGCCACTACTTTCACTAGATGAAGTTACTTCTTCACTACTTTCACTTTGTTCTACTCTTCTCTTCTTCTTTGGTGTCGCTTTTGGTAACTTGCCCTCTGCTTTAAGTTGTTGCATCTTTGCCTCATGTTCACCTAGTATGTTGTAAATTTCCCATGTCCTTTTTGCCTTTGGGCTCTGGTCGCCCATCTCAGGTAACCTATATCCTAGAAAGATTTTGTCATAGTTTGTATTTGAGTCTTCGCGTATTGTTTGCATGACTCTTTCCTGAGTTTCCGGTTCAAGCTCTTCAAATATAGCTTGTCCATATGGAATAAGCTCGTTTCCAAATATATGTTTTTGTAGCCATTCTGGTTTTCTTTCCATGTTACCAATAATATCTTTTGTGAATGGGAAAGCTTTTACCCAACGTTTCAGGCTTGCGTCATTTATTTCTGTAGTTGGTTTTATTTTGTCAAGGAACATGTTTTTCAATACTAACATTTCATTTGGTACTGTCCATTTGAGTTTTCTTAAATATTCATCCCTTCTCAGTTCATTGTCTGCAAAGTAAGTTTTTATGACATTTTGTAAACTTTCGTTTGCAAGGTCATGTACAATAGGTTCTCTTCCTTCTATCTCCCTAACTTTCTTTCTAAACTCTTCACCAAATATACCATCTCTATGGTTCTGTGTAGTTCTTTGAGATAAATGTTCTAGAACGTCAGGTGTTATATTTCCATCAGCCATGTTCATTTCATACTGGTCCAAAATATCTGCATGTTTCATATCTTTCAATGGCATTAAAGCCGCGCTGAAAATACCAGCTATATCTGGTTCACCATTCACTTCCATTGCGTCTACAACTTCTTGGAATTGTGGTTGTAAGTTTATGAACCACCTATCCGGATTAGCTTTATGACCCCATCTCATTGTAGTTCCATAGTCTGCAGAAACAAAAGTAGGTTTGTTTCCATATTGGTTAGGTTCTGAATGAACTTTAAACAATGTTTCATTTCTATATGTTTTGTTGAAATTTAACCTTTTATTTTCACCGAGTTCAGCCAAAGATTGAACGTTATATGGTCGTAAGTAAAAAGGATTGTTGTATTTGCGTACATTTTCTTTCAGTACTTCCATTCTATGCTGAATATTTTCATCTGATGTTGGAGTCTTTTGTATGTCAGCGAACATTTTTCGATATTCTTCTACTATGTCAGCCGAATTTTTCTTAGACTCTTGGAAAGATTCCATATTCTCCGCATACTCTTGTTGAGGGTCAAGATTTTTCGGCTGTTCCAAATCTTCATCTAGTTCTGTGAAGTTAGTTTCCAAAGGAGGGACTTGTTCGTTTCCTTCAGGCTCTTCTAGCTGTTGTTGCTGAACTATTTCTTCCATGTCTGGTTGTATCTGAACTTCTTCCTGTGGAGTTTCTTGTACCTCATCTGCTGGCATTTCATATATTCCGAGACCGTTTTTAACAAGTTCCCTATTTAAGCCATCCGCATTCATAACCCTTTCTTCTTTCGTTCCGTCTCTATTTTTTACGCGTTTCATGAAGATAGTTGAATTATCATTTATCTCTGACACCAAATATCTCGGAGTAAATTCATCCATGTCATTTGGATGATATGCTATTAAATCATATCCCTTAGCGAGCTTGTATTTTCCAGGTTTGAAATTATATCCCATTTGGTGCTGAACCATAAAGCTAAATAGGTTCGGGTCAGTATTTCCTTCCTTGAACTTTCTAATAGCTTCTTTATATCTGTCACTAAAGTCAAGAGTATCTGGGTAACCATAATTTTCCTTAAGCATTTTTAAGAATTCTTGGTTTCCTTGTTCTCTACTTCTTTTATGTCCTTGCTCTGTTTGTGGTTGTGGTGCAGGGTTTTGAACTGTTGGTTGTTGTGTTGGATTTTGAACTGTTGGTTGCTGTGCTGGTTGTGGAGGTGGTTGTTGTGCTGGTTTTGGTTGTGGTGCAGGGTTTTGAACTGTTGGTTTTGGTTGTTGTTGTTGTGCTGGATTTTGAACTGTTGGTTTTGGTTGTTGTTGTTGTGCTGGATTTTGAACTGTTGGTTGTTGTGCTGGATTTTGAACTGTTGGTTGTTGTATTGGTTTTGGTGCATGCCTGTGTCTGTGTCCATGTGACGATGTAAATGTTTTAGGTAGTCCTGGTGCAGGTGCTTCTCTTGGAGGGTTTGGTGGTATATAAGTTCCACCAGCTGGCACATATGTTCCATCTGCAGCATAATGTCCTACCTGACTTTTCGTTTTTAAGAAAGCATTTACTAGGTCTGTTTTGGTCTGTTGTAACTCTTTTTCTTGACTTTCCACAACAGTTGCTCTAACGGCGTCATAGGCACTTTGAACTGCCTGTCTCGTTGCTGCATCTGTTATTTTCGTCATATTTTGTGCTACTTCTCTTAACTCGTTGTCGAAACCTTCAGACTTCAGTTTCTTTCCAGATGAGAAGTCGTTCACTAGTTTCACCTTACTATGAAGAGCTTCGAAGGCGTTCTTAAAGTCAGCATTCATTAAAGCTTCATTTGAACTGTCTTCATCCGCTTGTATTTTTGTCCTTATTGACCCTATAAGTTGGGCTGCTTTGGCGTTGGCTTGGGCATCTAACCAGTCATTATTAGCTTTTATATATTCTGCGCTTTTCATTGCCTTTTGCATGGCTGCGTCGTTATTTTTACTTTCTTGTGCTAAGTTTTCATACTGTACGGTTTGGTTTTGCAACTGTAAAAGTTTTTCTGCCTTTACATTTGCTTCAACTTCTTTTTTATACTCATCGCTATCCATATATGTCTTCAGGGCTTTTTGTTTTATTTCTTCATCTTTCAGTACTTTATATTGAGTAGTATGGTTTTTCAAATTTATAACATCTTGTTCCATTTTTGCTACTTCTGCTGCTTTTTCTGACACTTTTTTCGCATATTCCTCTGTACTTAGTTCTTTCAGTTGTTCTTCTTTCTTCTTTTTCTCTACGTTTAACTCATTGAGTTTCTTTGTGTGTCTGTCATATTCTAGTTTCTTTTCGTTTTCACTTATTTGTTTCTGTATGTCTATGTTTGACTTTTTGACATCTGTTATTTGATTTTTGAGTGAACTCAAATTCATTTGACTTTGAGGGTTATAAGCTGTTCCGTCTGCAGCTCCACCATAGCCTGTCATTTTCGCTAAAAGTGCCGCTCTTAAACCTCCACTCTGTGCACCAATAACTCGGTTTAAAAGCATAGGGTTGCTTGACATTTGTTGCAACATAGTGGGGTCATTCATCATTTGTTGTTGCAACTGTTGTTGTGGTGTCAGTTTTACTATTGGATGTTTCAATGCTCCCTTCCTCTTACGTATATTCTTACGTAGCTTACGTGGCATTTTAAGTGAAGTAAAAAACGGTTTTTGACAGATGTTTATATGACACTTTTTGTTCAGCACAAAAAACTACTCGGTCAAAGTGTTGTCAGTTTTGTAAAATAACCGTCCTATCTCATTCTATAAGGGGAAAAGGCTTCTCAAAGTTTACTTCCTTGGAACGCCTGTAACTTTTCCTGTAGCGACGATAGACCCTTACTTGTCCGGACAAAGTTATACTAAACATCTTCAGGGCTAGAGGGCACGAAGTGCCTGGAGGCCCCACTACCTTTTTTTTTTTTTTTTTTTTGTTCCAAAAGCTGACTAAAAATGCCATATGCTGACAAAATATTTCCAAATCATTTCACTTTTTATAGCAATATGTTTGTTTATAATACTATTTTCTTGCGAATTTTAACCATTGATAAAGATTTATTATACTTCTATTCATTAAATTACCTTGAAGTCTATCTTCTTAAATACATTATTTAATCATTGACAATAATATCTTTGCCAGTCTCTTTTTAGGGCCCAAAAGAATCACCGAATTAAATGAAAGATAAAGTAATTTTATTAACAAACAAACAAAATAATAATTATAAGAGAATTCTATAAAGGCTCGGAATATAAAGATATCATTTTAATAGCCTTTTTGATTGATAATTTGATTTTCGCCGATTTTTGAATGCAATATGGAAAATTTTTCGCGAACAATTCAGCATTATTCAGTATATTCTGAGAGTTAGAAGCCAATTCAAATAGATTTTCTTCGATAAGAGCATCCCATTTTGGGGAAATGAAATTAATTAAATCATCGGCAATAAACAGCAAAGAAATCAAAGAATTAAAATCGGAAGCTCTTGATAATGTAATTACAGATGTATTTTTCACGGCAAGAAGTCCATTTGAAACTGTCATAAATAAATTTGAGAACAATGGACTTTTTCTTTTCATCATTTCAGCGTTTTTCATGATCAGTTTTGAATATCTCAAGAACACGTCAATAGATTCTTCGTATTTCAGTGACTCTGGAATATCAAATTGCTTCAATAAAATTAATTTTGTCGACAATGACCTTAATGACTTGTCGACAACAGTTGCTTGAATAGGAAATGAAAAGAACGATGTTGTTCCTATTTCAAGAACTTTTATTGAATTAGAAATGAAGCCATGAAAATTCAAAACAAAATTTGTTAAACATTGAACGAACAATTGGTTCTCTGTTAACCTGGAACAAATATTTTTCAGCTCATTTGACATCTCACCGAACTCGATTATGAATTTAATACAATCTCTGTCTGAATGGGTCGAAAAACTGTATTCAGATATATTAGATCTGAAATAGTCTATCAATAGGCAGCATCGCCTATGTACTTCCGAAATTTTGACTTTCTTTTTATTTGAAATTTCAGAAAAATTCAAAATTTCTTTCAATTTTGTGATTTCGCTTTTTTCTGCTTTGATTAATCGCAATTCCACGTGATTCATCAAATCCTTTGAGTTATGATAGAAAACCCGAACGAAATCAGCTTCTATATCAAGCAAATCTTCGAACTTGATCGTATCATTTTTTCTAGAAATTCTGATTTTTCTGAAAAAATCTTTGAAATCAAATTCTGACAAATTTTTGTCAAAAGAAATTTGTTTGATAGAAGATAAGTGTTTTTTGAGTTTTCTTGTTGAAAACTTCTTTCCATTCAAGAACTCAGAGTTTATCTCGCAGAATTGTCCTAAAACAGCGCAAATAGAACAAAAATAACTTAATCTTTTCCGAGAAAATTCAGTAGGTGAAGTGATTTGATTAATTTGATGTAAGCTAAATGGACTTCCCTTCATTGAATTATAAGTTGCTTCTATAATAGAGAAACAGCGATTCGTGTCAGGTCTTTTGTGCTCGGAAAGAGTTTTGCATAAATCTGACAGCCATGACAAATTTGTAAAGTTTTTTTCTAAGCCATTTTGGCAAAACCCGAAATCGAACTGCGAAATTTTTTGAAGTGTTTCGTAGTTGTCCATTTTTACGGGCGTGGAGACTTCGCTTTCACTATCAGAATTTTCATCTTCACTTGAGTTATTAGATACTAAAGATTGGTCGCAATAATCACTTGTTGCTTGCAAACCAATTATCAAAGTATTATATGATTTTTTGAGGTCCAAAATTCCATTTAATTTTTCATTTTCAAGGAAACTCAGAGAAGAAATTACAGAAATAATATAATCAGAAATAAAATGGTATCTTTCTGGAAAACTTTTGATGTTTTTCGTCGTTTTCACACAGAAATCAAGCGAAATGATAATTTGGTGTAAAAATTCAATCCATTTGGAAATAATACGTGTTAAAGGAATAAGGTTATTCGTGTCACTTTTTTCATTGAGATAAAGACAAATTTCATTTAGATTGTCTTTGTTTCTTTTTAAAAGATTTATCAGAAAATCATCGGTTTCGTCATTAACCTTATTTATTATTTTAAGAATTCTTATCGAATACCTCAAAACAACTATTGATCTGTATAAATTTTCTTTTGTTGTTGAAGTGTCACGTTTTAATTGGTCGACCAAATTAAGACAAATTTTATTATGTATTTCGTAACTTAATTTGTCTTTTTGTCCACTGTTTTGTATGGAATTTATTTGTGAATTCAAATAATTTTCTTCCGAAAAAGTGAAATTACTTTTTTCACTTAAATTTGTCACTTTTTGAATGTAAAGTTGCAAATCATTTCTTCTTATTTCAAATGGAATTTCTGTCATCTGTAACATTCCATTTAATTTCGAACAAAGTGGCAAAAGTGAAGTGTGGACGATAGATAAACAATTTCTATTCAAATTTTGATCAATATCTTTAACAACTCTTGTCATGGCCGATAGAGAACGATAGAAACCGTAAAAGAAATCAGAAGCTTGCAAAATCACTGTATCATCATTACTTTGCGCCAAATTATGTATATAGTTGATGTTCTTCATCAAATAAAAAAACCATCGTTCAATGACATCAATTATGTCACTTTTCTTGTTATGAATTTTGTATTCACCCAAAACAGCGACTAATAAGTCTGTCTTGAAGTCAATAGCACTCGCTAATTCTGAAAATGTCGTAAAAGTGTCAGGATTTGTCAGTTCACTTTTCAATTTATTGAAAAAGGCAAAAATTCTTGTCAAACCGCTTGAATTTGTCAGAACATGAGGAATTTCTGACCTCAAACGGTTGAAATGTCGTTCTGCAAATAGTAAACGGTCAATTAAAGGTGACATTTCAATATCAGACAATTGTCGACTTAAAGAATCAACTGAATGTTCATCTTCCGAGTTGTATTCTTTTGTTTGTGGTTCAGGAAAAGTGAAGTCAAAAAATTCGACACTTTTTTCAGAATTTGAATTATGTAAACGGTTGAATTTGACAATAGGCGGTGGAATTACTTCTATATTATCACTTACGAGTCTCAGGGACCATCCGAAGAACGGGGAAGCAGGGATTTGCGGAGGAATCAAATCAGAATCAATTTCATTCATAGAAGGAGAATGAATTGGTGTTGTTGGTCTGTTCGGACACTTAAATGTCCAATTAACGTGTTTTCCTGATGGTTTGTACTTGATAGGAGAATTCGGATCAACGAGGATAGGCTTCCTGGTGTCTAATTCTATGGATGATAATGATCCCATTGAATGAATTAACGGTTTTTTGCGGTTATTTGGTGATTTGACAAATTTAAATTTTTTCTTTTGTTCGGACATTCTGTCATCAGAAGAAACAGCTGCAATCAAAGGGGATACGGGAATTCCATCCAAAGGAGAAACAATTTTTAAAACTTCCCTACAAAGTTGTGTCACTTTTTTGGCATGAATATTTAGTAAAGGATCTTTTTCAAGTTTATTTAGATGATCTATTAAATTTCTTATAATGAGACCATCATTTTCCGATTCATCGACAACTTTATTGTATTTTACAGTCATTTCTTGTATCTTTTCACGTTGACACAAAAAATAATCATGTTCTTCAGACATGTGACATGAAATAATCAAAGCTGACAAAGCGTTTTCTATTTGTAGAAATAGATTTGCACATGGTGTCATTGGTTTTGGAGGAATCATCTGTTTTACTTTATATAATATTAAATATATCTTTTGTATCAAAAAGTGACAGTTACTTTTGTTAAAAATTGACAACAAAATTGAAGGAATTTTTGACATTTCTAAAGAGAATTTTTCAAGTTTTTCTATTATTAAATTGACTGTTGTTTGTGACAAATCATTCATTCCTTCCAAACTGAGTATCAATCTGCTGAAAAACAAGACATATTCAGATATAGAATACAAAACAAAGTAATTGTTGGAATTCTGTAAAAATATGGTTTGTGTGTTCTTCGTATAATGCCTCAACTGCTTGAAATCTTCTATTAGATCTGTAATGCTTTGATTTGTGTCACTTTTTATTTGTAAAATAAATTGATTCAATTGTTGCATTGAAAATTGAAGGGAAAGAGATAAAAGTGATACATTTAACCCTGGAAATTCTTTGTCAATGTTTTTGGCGTTGACAACAAATAAGTCTAAGTTCTGGAGAGTGCCTTGTATGAGAGAAAACAATTGAAAAACGTCTAATTTCGAAAAAAGAAAGTATGTTTCGTCAAAAAATGGTTTCCAACCAACATAGTACTGTATATTAGATGGATTCTGTGATATTATAGACGAAAGACATGCAGATAACTGTGAGGAATATGACATTACCCGTTTCATGAGTAATATTGGTGATGAAAAGCGATTTTCCAGATTTTTTTCTTCTTTCGCTGATGACAACCTGATTTTTATTGAGTTTACAATCCAGCCGTACAAAGAAAGGTATTCGTTGACATCATGGCCCGACTGATATAAAAAATTTATCAAAGATGCTGAGTTGTAAAGGGGTTCTTTCCATTGGTAAGCGAATATAATGTTAGAATAGATGTTGTTGCCTATGGATAAAAGCCCATCTCTGCATGGAGCAAGTGTATTCGTGATATAATTCACAGATTCATTAAAAGGAAGCCTGGAACTTGGTTGTACTTGAGATATTGGTGATGGAATGATGGAATCTAAATCGATTATTTGTAATTCTATTGGATAAATTTGATCTAAATCTGGAAAACTCGGGATATTGTTAAATCCATTGTCAGCAAGTATAGGAGTTGTATCTGTAACTCTTAGACCAATCCATTGGCAATGTCGAATTGATCTTCTTAATAAAATTTCATTTTGAGCAATTTTTCCTGTTTTGAACTTCTTATGGATCTGATCAACTCTTTCTAGTATTTCTGTGAATATTTTATCGATGTCTGACGTGTCTCCCGTTTCAATAATATTTTGAATTTTTATTTTGTCGAAAACAAGATCTTTTGGGAATCTCGGTGATTCTTCATAGTTGTTGAGATTATATAGAACATCTCTGATCGCGTAATTGTAATCTTTGGCTGAAAATGGTCCTCTGGGGTAAGAATAGACTTCAGAAATGATATGATCGATCAGGGCAAGTATCCTACTACTTATGTAAAGTTTTATCGGTTGTTGGTCGGTCTCTTGTGATGCTATAATTGGAATTGAATAATTTAACGAATCTCGAGCTTTAATTAGCACTTCTAGATTGGAAATTAGTATTTCTATGTCGAAATTCTGTTGAAATAATGATGTAATGCTATCAAAAGATGAAAACATGTTGTTAAAATTAGAATTTTGATAATTTTTTGTAAAATTCTGTATTTGACTGAACAAATCTTCGTAACATGCTTGTATATCTTGTGTAGTACAAAAGTTCGGTAAATAAAATGAAGAATCAACTAAATTTTGAAAAATTATTTGGATTATTTCTTTTAAAGTTAGAATTGATTGTTGATCAAATCTGTTTGATTGTGAAAACATCTGAGAAATGAGTTTCGCAGCCCAATTTTTCCCAAAATTTCTAAAAAAATTGTTAGGATCATCATTTTTTCTAATTTCGCTAAGAATATTGTTTACTAGTTCTGTAACTGGTTGTTTTTCTTGATAATTCGTTGAGTTAATATCAAACGTTTTAAGATCACATTGAATAATAAAGTAAAAAATAATAGAATATGATTCTTCTGTCTCTGTCATTGAAAACCTAGCAATGGAGGACTCTCGTCTTCGATGAGTAGTTCTAGTTGATACTTTAATTGATTGTTGTGTTATTTCCCTTGAAATTGTGAGATTTTCTGTTGTGAATGTTGTTTTTGTTACTATTGGTGGGGGTAGATTTTCGGGTGTCATGCGGGTTTCCCGATTAGATTGTTCATCCATTCAAAATCTGAATTTTTTTATTCCAAAGAAATTAGGGGATCAAAATATTTCAAGTAAATGTGAAATCTCATTGAATGAAATGAAGCAGAACTTTTTATCTCTCATTTTAGTCTTGTATTCGGTACCTTGATGCCACACTCTTAATAGCAACCAAATATAAATCATAATTTGTAATTTTTAATGTGAATCTATATATTATTGTTTAAATTGAAGAATTGGTTTTTTAATAAGTTTTTAAGCATAAATTCATCTCATTTAATTTGTGATTTGAATTTAGATTCTTCTTGGAATCAACAAATAGATGTGGTCCTGTGGTTATATGTAGCAATCGAATAAATCTTAGAATAAAGTGAATATTGATATGATTTGTTGGAATATTATCATTTATGATGAAAATAGAAATAATTTTGATCGCAAAGGAATGATATTGGTAAGGAAATCCTATATTATCGAACTATGTGTGAGCAATCCTTAAACAATTATCACATAATTTTTATTGAAATTTGATGGAGTATAAGAAGGAAGATGATTCATTAGATGATTACGACAATGAATCATCTTCAATGTCATGTTATACTATAAGTAACTTATCACAGTTGTTTTTAAGTATCAAAGAGAATTATGAAGAAAATAAATTAACAAAATTAGCAAAATCACTCCAAGATGTAGCAAACGCTTTTAGAGCTAACGTGTTTATTGACGAGTCATTTGTTGGCTATGATATTCCCTCAATATTATATAATTGTGCTTCAATTGGAGAGGAAAGCATTGAAACGCACGCTTTGCTATTTCTTATTAACATTATATCGTCAAATGAACCATATTATTTTCACTGTCTTGATCCTGAAAATGTCGAAAAAATCCTGATAGAAATATTTAGGAGTAGAATATATCATGCAAACTTTGCATTCAAAATTTTAACAAATATTCTTGATAAAGATATCGAATTCTCCTTAAGGATCTTCAGTAATATTTCACCAGATGAAATAATATTTGCAGCGATAGTCATTTCAGAGTCATGTTTATCATCTGAGCTGAACTCAACCTTATTGATAAACAATGAAGTGATATTTCTTGAAAAAATAATAAGATTGATTCCTTTGAATAATTATTATGAAATATATTGCCAACTCATTGATGAAGTTATGAAGTATTTTGATATTAATCATCCACAAATGGTTGACTATTTCAGACTTTTAAATACACTTACCGATTTCGATCAATTCAAAGAATATGATGAAAAGTATCATTTTGGATTATTTATGAATCAAAATCTAGAAAATATGCCATATGAAATCACTTGTTATGCCTTGGCAATATTAGCTTCATCAGCTGTTTCACCAAATGAAATAAAAGTAGAACAAATATACAAATTTGCAAAAAGCTCAGTTAAAAATATCCAACAGTCAGCATTGTATGCTATTGGTAAGCTTATTTTTTGTCACAATCAATTGTCTAACATATTTTACAGATTTTTTAGTATTGAAGAACTAATTGATATCAATCAATATGACTCAAAGATTAAGTTAGAAGTAATATACATACTAACAGCGTTTTCAAGATTTTGTACAGATGATATCAGACATGATTTAATGAACGCAGGTGCAATAGAAGAACTTCTAGAGTATGCTGATTTCTCTGATTTTTCCGATGAGATTGCGATTGCAGCAATGTTATTACTTAAAAAGATGTTATTTGTGAATGGAATAGAATTTACACAGAGATTTGTAGAAGAAAATAATATCATGGAATCTTTATCTGATCTGTCTGATAGTACCGATAATAAAGAAGTCCATGAGCTTTTCGATCAAATATCTCAAAAATTATTTTCTCCTGACGGATGAATATAATCCACACATTAAAGTGCATTCAATTAAAGTTCATAATGAGGAGTCGACATTAACTATTCGATGTTTTTTGAATAGAAAATTGATCCAATTTTCATATATGCATAGTTTCAACGATTTTTAATTGAACTTCCAATATTTATATGTAGTTTAATTTCTTCTTGTATGTATAAAGCTGTTGTTTTCAGAAATAAAATAAATTATTTTCATAATAACTTATTAAAGTGTATCAATCTGAGCTCATACATGGTAAAAATAATGTTTTGATTATCATACATAATACAAACAATTTATAATAAAATCTAATTCCGAAGCCAAGGGTGTTACAGCATTTGGGAAGCTGTATAACGTGTTGATGGATTCCTATCAAGCACATGGGTAAAAAAGTCCCTCAATTGACTCGAAATTTTAACATTATCTGGAAAAATAATTTCTGAATCGCAAATAATCTGAGATATACGAAAAAAGTGTGTCTTCAATACATTTTCATCATCTGGTTCGAAGAATGGAAGTTTTCCGTAAATTAATAGGTATAAAATAACGCCAATTGCCCAGCAATCAGCTGGTTTACCTAAGTATGGTTCGCCGCTACATATTTCTGGTGAATAAAATACTGGTGTTCCTTCCGTATCTGTTAATAATTCATTTTCGTCGGTTAACTGTTTCGAAACCGAAAAATCTGAAATCGCTACATGGCCATCCTCGAATACAAGCGCGTTTTCTGGTTTCAAATCTCTGTGGACAATGTTAATAGAATGTAAATATTCTAAACCGTAAACGATTTGCTTAAAGACTATTCTTGCATCGTCCTCTTTAAATGGATCAACTTTCCAGTAACTATTGGTCAGAGATCCTTTGTCAGCAAAAGGAATAATTAAAATTAAAGATTTTGACTGTTCATCATCTCTTTGGATGATTAATCTTTGTCATAATCTCAATTTCATTATAAACTTTATCAATAGGCTGGACACCTGATCCAACCATTTTTTTATCTAAATAATTGGGATCATATACTTTGGCGGCATATTTAAGATTGGTTTTATTATTGATAACTAAAAATACATCTGATGCCGAGCCATGCCCAATGTGGTACTGAAATTCGTATTCTAAGATTGTTGGTTTGACAGCGGGATTGAAAAAACTAGGGGAATCTGTTAGTGTTAATGTGTCGAGTGTTAACAAAGTGGAATACATGAAAACGCTTTCATTAAACATGACTGGGGAAGTCTCTGTTGTAAATATTAACTGATCATTAGCCGCAAAATACATCTCACTGGAAGATTCTTCCTCTGTTTCATGAATAAGAATAGGTTCGGGTTCTGGCTCTGGGGCAACCCGCACAGCCGACGAACTGCCGCAGCCCATTTTTTAAAAAATTAGTTTTGAATAGAACACGTTTTTATCTTTTATCCTTCTTTTTCAAAAAATGTTGTGTATAAGTAGTGCATTCCAATTTATTATTTCAATTTTTTTAACTTCACTTTTATGATTGACTCGGTAAAAAATAATTGTACTAATTGGATTGTTCTTTCCATTTTATAATTTTTCTCAGTAATTCAAAAGTGACAACAACGAACGTTTGAAGATTTTCGATTTCATAATCGACATGTCCGTTGAATGTGTTATCAAGGCCGCAATGGGTGTTGAAACAAACACAAACTTTGATGCTAACGTTACTATTGCAAGTCTACGCCCTCGTTTCTATGCAATGACAGGCTACGAACCATCTTCAATGAAAATTAAAGTAAATGGCAATCTTATTGAAGATGAATCATTGCCTTTAAGTACATACGCAACAGGATCACCACTTGTAATTGAAATCTCTGGTAAATCAGAGTTTGGTGACTTGAATGATGTAAATGCTGTTAAAAAGTATGAAATTAGCGACGCAGACTATGATCACCGTACAGGCACAATACGTGAAATGAAGCGTAAGGCCGGTATTCCTGTTAAAGGAGAAGTTCATCATAAGTATGATGACGTTCCACAAGGTATTGAAGTAGGAAACCGCTGCCAAATAGAGATGTCTGATCATTCACACCATCGTGGTTGCGTCAGATACGTTGGAAAGGTAGAAAAGAGTAATGGCTATTGGATTGGCGTTCAATTAGATGAGCCATATGGAAAGAATGATGGTTCTCTCGATGGAAAACGCTACTTTGAATGTGAAAACAAATATGGCGTTTTCGTTCGTGCTGAAAAGGTAGAGGTTGGAGATTTCCCTGAGATTGATTGGGAAGCTGAACTCGAAGACGAGATGTAAAATAGAATAAAAGATAAATAGATACTCCATAAATCTAAAATTCAAAATTTTTTTTTTCCTCTGAGCTAAATCTCTTAATATCTATTGTTTGACGGCATACTATATCATTGTAAGATATTTTCAATCATTCATATTCTTATGCTAAGAAATTCACGTCAATTCTGATAGTAGAATGATCTAACTGCTATAGTTTTAATAGTAAGTACTGTGACTTAAGATAATTCTGATCTCGCATCTGTTGTATCGGCCAAATTAGAGCAAAATTATTAAGAAATGTTTATAATTTTTCATTTAATTGATATCTCTATAAACACCTTAGAGTTGTTTATCTATATTTTGCTTTTGATTTGCAAAATCTTCTAAATTTATTATTGAATAGTTGTAAAGTTGCATGGCTTGCTCTTTTGTGAACGATGCCTATCGAAGTAACAGATCCAGCTGCCTTCCGTGATATGGTCCGTATGCTCTCAACAAACGTTGATGGCCGCCGCCCACTCTACCTTGCTCTTACAAACATTTCTGGTATTGGCCGCAGATTTGCCTACGCAGTCGTTCGCCGTGCAGGCCTTGACCCACTCCGCCGTGCTGGTACACTTACACCAAAGGAGGAAGAGCTCATTGTTTCTATCATCCAGAACCCAACAGAACACCAGATTCCAGTTTGGATGCTCAACCGCCGCTTCGACCGCGCTACAGGTCAAAATACTCACTGGGTTGCCACAGATCTCGGTGCTAACATTCGTGCAGAAATCGAGCGCATGAAGAAGATGCGTATGAAACGTGGTATCCGCCACGGTCTTGGCCTTAAGGTCCGTGGTCAGTGCACAAAGTCTACTGGCCGCCGTGGTGGTGCCCTTGGTGTTGAACGCAAGAAAGACTAAAATAATTATATTACCATCTTCAAAAGCAAAGAAAATTCTCCCGTACTCATGAAAAAAAAATACCATCGATTAGTTTAGAAATAATACTATTTGATATCAGTAATAGAAAAAAAAAAATCTAATTTTTTTGTTGAATTCAAAATTAATCAATGGTATCTGCTCTGCGTTTATTTGTACCTTTTTTGGTGGATATGTTCCACATTTATTTTGCTATTATCGTATATTTATTTTTACATTTTTAATTAAATATCATGAATCAATTGTCAGTCATTAATATTCTTTTGCTGAGTAGATGAGCTGTTCAAAAGATTGAGGTTGTGATATTATTGAAAATTTTTTCATTTTCAATCTGATCTTCAATTTTGAGGCAAATTTTAGGAGAAAATGAGTTAATTGTTTGTGGCATTCTTATTACAGTTGGTTGTAATAAAGAATATTTCAGGATAAGTGATCAAAAAAAATGACGAAAATTCCTGTCATCAATTAAAATTTGATAGAAGGATTATAAAAGTTTTGAAAAGTTTACAAAATTAAAGAAGATCAAAATCTTAAAAAATGAATTATTGCCAGAACACCTTTCACCGTAAATAATTTGAATTTACGACGATATAAACTCAAATTGAAAAATCTAACCGATGAAAATACCAAAAATAAGGTACAACTTATAACTTTTTGATTATATTAATTCGAGCCAAATCTTGTTAAATGAAAAACTTGTGAAATCATAAAATGTGAAACTACCAGACAGTATAGATCTTGATAATATTTTGCAACTTTTATGTTTCAAATAACAAGTTTTGACCTAGAAAATCAGTTTGAATGCCTTCATTCTTACGATATTATTTTGTAAGTATCGTTTTCGATGGATTCATGTACTAAACGAGTAACATATGTTTCATTTTTAAAACATTTAAATCGAAAATAAAAGAAGTTATTATCTCAAATTGAATTATGGTCTTTCAATTTTCAAAGCCGATTCAAATAGTTGTCAATTTGAGATATCATTTTTTACTAACGAATTGGATAGTTAACTATATATTCAAAATTCATCCGAATTTGTATTTATACGAATATTTGAGACAAAGAAAAATTATTTCTTAATGAATATGCTAAACTTTCCCACCGCTACAGACAATAAAGTTATTGGCTGGAGCTCAAATCATGGAGGTGAAGTTGTTCATTGCGAGCAATCATTCCTGATGCCCCAGCAAAAGCCAAAATCAACAAAACTCGATTCGCTTCCATCAATTCAATCGGCCAGCCCCCCACCTGAACCGAAGAAACCTGAAGAGGTTAGGATTCCTGAAGAAACTCGCTCCGAAGAAGAAGAAAATGATACAGTACAAGAAGAACCAGAAATCCCATTAGCTCCAAATTCCGGAAATCTAATTATAAAACCGAACGAATTAGGGTTTATACCTCCGGAAAGATGGGAGAACGTTCCAACTGTCGAGTTTTCAAGTCTACAAAGTGTATATTTCCCAAAGCGATCTTCGAAAAAGCTTCGATTTGAACAAAAGTTATGGAACGCTTTACTTCTAACGCAAAAATACCCAAGCTTGAAACCTGTAATTGGTGTCGAATGGATAACGAATGATGTTATACGAGTAGAAGTCAATACTCTTGCCAAACTATTGGGTATCTCCAAAGCTACATCTGCTCTTTGTTCTCCTCAGGGCTCATTTCCTTCTCACGGCTTCGTAGAAATCGTAAAACAAGATGGTGGATCATATATGTTCAATAATTCGGAGAATGTTCGGTATTATCAGCATGAAAGTGGATGTTTCCGCTCGGATTCCACTCAAGAAGATTTAGATAAATGTAAATGGACAAGCAAAAATAAGCATTCAGGCTTCTATTGAAGAGGATTATATTGTTTTCGTTAATATTATAACATAATTTATGTATCGTTCCAGAAAAACTGTTATGGGTCTTTAATATTTTTTTTTCCAGACATGTGGTCGTTCCATTCCATGCTCATACGGATAATTCTATAGTATATGTTCAACTTTTATTTCATGTTAATTAATAAATATTCATTTATTTTTACCTGTTCGCGTAATTTTTTTTTCGAAAAAAAAAAAGACTGTCATTGTTCTTTATTTCAGTATTTCGTTTGTTTGTTGTATATATATATTAATAGTAGATTGTGGAAATGATATAATTTGCTGCTCTAAAATAAAGTGATTTTTTTTTACATTTTCCATGTGTAAAAAAATTCTACTTGAATGAGTTATTTTTTACAATAATGAACTTACTACAGTCCATCAAAACATCAACACTATAGATGCCATACCAGTGTTTATGCTATATCTCAAGCGATATCATAACAAACCCTTTCTAAAGTACTCACAAAATCTAGATTGAGAGGCGGTCAATGACTTTTGAGGGGAAATTAACGCATGGAATTTAATATTATTTAGGTTGATATTCTTGCTTATTATTTCAGAAAAAAATCTTAAAAATTTCAATATGAAAATTGAAAGCAATTCAAAAAAATTGCTAACATGTAAATTTTAATATCCTAGGCATAATTTCATATTTTGAACATTTTTTATTTTTGTTTAAAACTTAAAATTTTGCGAATTTAATATAATTTATAAAATATAATACGTATATATATTTAAAATACACTAAATTTAATTGTTAATTGACGTTTTTGGGAATGAATTTTATCAAAACATGCCTGAATCCGAAAATTTGAAAGAACGAATTACACAATCATATATGTTGAATTCAAAATACAAACTTAAAGATTGTATACGTTTAAAATTATTCAGATTGTGTTTGATTTCCACTCATTCTGTTTCTTTTGAACTCTAACACTAACATTTCATGATGATTACATGATCCATTTATACATGGTTGAATTGTTCCAGATTCTACCAGAAAATCAATCCAAATTTCTCAATGCATTCATGTTGATTGGACAAAATTTAAAATTTATCAGCCTGTTTCCAGAGAAACTCATATATTCCCTAATGAAATGTAATTTTTGCTACATTTATTTCAATCAAATTTCAAAAAATTGACTGCAGAGCTTGAAAAGGTGATGAATCATGTTGTTATTAGATGTACATATTAGATTTACTATTTCCAAAAAAATGCTCAAATTTGAATAGTTTTTAGGAAATTTGGAATTACACTCCTTACATTATATATAATTAAATGTTTCAATTTTATTTATTTTTCCCTTTTAATTTTATAACGTGCTCTATCAAAACTAACCTCTCAATTGAAGGCCACAAAATCTAAGTAGTGAGGGTACACAAATTTTGTATGGAGTACGGTTCAATTTTTGAGAGCCTCACTACTTAGATTTTGTGACTACCTTAATAGGGTTTTCTCGAAACAATTTATTTTCATTTTGAACTTTTATACTTATTGCTCAAACTTAATAATTAAAATGTATTTTTAGTGAGTTTTCATATTTGAAGCTAAAAACGAGATTACAAAATATTTTATATTTTTTTGACTGATTGAGTTTCATATAATTTTGACTGGATTTTTAAATGAGCGATTCTAGATTTACCGTAGCTGTCATTCTTTCCGGTGCAGATATTCCAGATGCTGAAATAAGTAAGATGGCAGCAGGTTATCTTAAAGTTCAAACTCCAGAAGGAAAATTTCTTTTAATTATTTATTGGAACAAAATTTTATATTTAGAAGATATAAAGCTATCAGCGAGGTTTAAGGTTCTTTATTTTACTATTAGAAACACGAATATTTTAACAAACATTTTAGGTATTACTAAATTCTCGTATTGTATTACAGCAATTCCAGAAATTTTCTATCAAATCTATGAATTTTGCGAGAGCCTTAATGTTGGTACCACTCAAGAAGAAGATAAAGAAGACGAAGACGAAGAAAACAATGATTCACCGAAATTTACAGCAATTGCCGATCCGTACAATTACAAATGTCAAATTTTGTTTTATCTACAGTTCGCCGCCCTTAATGAAGAAGCCTTAAAACTCTTTCGAATGAGAATCCAATTTGAAGATGAAGAACAGGAATCTCTTATTGATAAAGCTGTCATAAGCTTAGATTCAAAGTATATTCTATATAAAATGGTCCCGAAATTACGTTTCAAAGAAAAAATTTCTGCAAAAGATTTTAATCCAATTGTTCAAATCATGGAATGCTATCAAAAATCGCAGCCCGATGCAAAACCAATGATTTCAGCCACAAAATATAACAATTCCGTTGAAATTTTCGTTTATTTCGAAGATTTTTCATATCAACATTTAGAAAGAGCATGTTATCATATTGGAAATAACATTGTCTACTTTGTTCCAATGCATAATAACGAAGACAAAAAGAGGATTTTCTTATTAAAGTCCGCAATTACGAATTTCAGTGATATTTTTGATAGTCTCTACTCATATTGCAATTTCAAAGTCCTCTCCATCGAAGAGAACGGCACATTCCTTTGTGTTACCATCTCTGCTTCGCAAGATGACTATAGAGCGTATTACAGAAAAATGGCTGACTTCCGCGGTAACGATGTCGATTCAATTTGCAGCGACACAAAGAATGATGCCAATAAGGATAGGAAAATTAATCCAATTGTATCATTTATTCGTGATAATAACTATAATAACCCAGAGTTCGATCTCCAAGAATTTAACTTCCTTAAGTTCCCTCCTGGAAAGCACGAAGTTCTTTTCAGGATGCTCAAGAAGTTTGGTTTGATTTCTATTTCGGAATACGATCAAAAAATCAAAGGATATCGTTGTTTCTCGTCCTTATACGATTTCCGTAAGATTGTTGAAAATTTCCCTTCAAATGTTGTTGAAGTCAGATCTAATACACCAAAAGGATAAAAAACTTTCTCTTTATTTAAATTTTTTTAATCTTTTTTTTAAGTTAGATATCTATTTAAAACTATGGTTTAGCACATGTTTAAAACATAGTAATTTAGTGGTATGATTCATCATTTGTTCGCAGATATTTTGAATATTGCAAAAAAAATCCGAGTTTAGACCTTGAAATTCTATGAATTAATTCTACTTATGTCACTTATTCAAACAAGTGAAAGTTCATTTTTTTGAGTTTTTGGAGGGTATTTCAGCAAGAATGAAGATGAAAAAAATCATGGGAATTCATGAAATTCAAAATCCTTAGATCTATGTTTAAATAAGAGAGATATGTCATTCTGACTACAAATTTATCAATACTTTGCTCAAGATTATGATTTTATATAAATATGATGTAGATTATTAACAAATATTAAGAGATAGCAAAAATTATTTAGAATCATTTCAATTATCAGAGTTCTGCATGAAAGAATCAAAGATGATTTTTATTATTTTACTTTTTCTTAGTTCAATTATTTGTTGTATCATTAAATTATTATTCCTGATGATGTTAAACATAAATAACTAGCTTATATCGTGATATTTAATTACATTTCTAAAAAAAATATTTAGTATGAATACAAAGCATAAGCAATTCCAACAGCAAATATGGCATCATTTGAAAATGTTTCACGAGCAACATTATCTGTATCATTATCCCAAAATCCGCGGAATCCCATTGCAATTCCTTGTCCTCTTTGTTCGCCAAGTAAAACTTGAACAATAAGTTTATAATGAGGTGGTAATGTTTGTTTAAGCTTTGCTTTGATGTCTTCTGCTAACTGTCTTGATGTTTCAGAAGCAGATTCTGGTTGATATGTCTGTTTTCCGAGAGTTTCGGCAAGAGTTTCTTTAATAACAGTCTGTGCTTGAAGAACTTTGAATTTGTTTTCAAATGCTGGGCCGGCTTTTGGCGCTTCTGGAGGAGGTTGAATTTCCATGTTTTAAAACGTTTTTGTCACCTTTATATAAATGTGACGAATTATATTTTTTATTCCTTGATATCTATTTGATTGATCTATCATTCATAAGGCATTCCCATTTATTGTATAAGTGAAGCCTGAATCTCAATAATTACCCAAGAAATTTTTAAAATATCAATTTCTAAACATTTTCTTCTGGATTTAACTGTTATTTCGATTATATTAGATTGTTTGCTATCAGATTTTATGAGAGATTGCAAATCAAAAAGAAACATTTCACATCATTCAAATAATTTGTTACATCCTCTTAAAATGAATTTACGTAGATGTAAGAATAACTGAAACTAAGTGAATATTGCATTCCTTTTGAAAAATAAAAATATCAATATCAAAATTTCTTTAAAAATACAAACAAACATATTTATTCTTCTTCATCTGGTGGTATAAGTAACCATGTTGATAAAGTCATGTTGAATTTGTCAACAATATCTGGATCTTTGTTGGCAGCAAATTCTGGATCAGATGTTACGTCGTAGATTTCATTGATCCAATCAACAAAATCTTCGTTTTCAAATACTATATCTTTTATTACTGTATTATTAAGTATATGAGAAGTTTCAGCAATTCTGCAAAGAGCCATGACTCTGGAGAAGCAGGTTCCATTCTCTACCTCTGCTTCAATACTCCAAATAGCATTAAAAGCATCTGGTGACTCTGCCAATAGTTTAATTTGCTCATCATTTGAATCTAGGACAAGAACGGCCAATGCATCAATTACTGTGGGTTTGAATTCAAACTTCAATGTTTGGACAGCATTAATAAGATTCAAATAGAGTTGTTCTGAGAAAATAAAATTACGGAATTTTTTGCATGATAAAACTAATAGTTCATTAGTATATTTGGTATGTATGTCTCCATCTAAGCAAGCTGTATTTATAAACTGGAAAAATGGAAGTTGTAACAATCTTGAGCAAAAATCATCGTCGAGATTTGAAAAAATTGCCAAAAAGAACTGAGAAAGGTTGTTGTTATATTTTGAGTATGTGTAGTCTGACACGTTAAGGAATTTTTCTGTCCATTGAAATATTGTATTTTGATCTTCCATAACTCCTTGGCAAATTGCCATTGTAAGAGCTTTAACTAAGTGCCTCTGCTCATCGTAATTCTTCATTTCCCAGTAGAACCACAATTTTTCGATAAAATCGAAAGTTAATTTGAAAAACTCTTCTTCGAATCCATTCTCAATATAAGGATGCTTAAAATCATAATTGACTAAAGATTTTGCAAGTCTGCATAATCGAACATAGTTAAAATTATTATTAAATTCTATGTGATCAACAATGCTTTGTAATATTCCAAAACCAATAACATTATCACGGTACTCTTTGCAGTATTTTGCGTAGTTTGCAATTGCTAATAAAATACCGTCAAACATGTATTTTTCAGTGAAAACGTTTAAAAGACCGTAAAAGCAGAATGTTTCAATTAGGTTTGAACAACCGCAAAGATTTCCAATGGCTTCATATGTTAATTCTTGTATTTCGTCACTATGTTTTTCAATATTTTCGATTATATCTTCAGAATATTCAATTGCTTTAACTTGAGGATGATTTGGATCAGGCGGTGTAAGAATCCTTGGTGGAATTGTAGGATCTTCAGAAAGGTCGATGATTCGTTGTAAAACATCTGGTTGTAAATCGAAATCTATTTGTTTTGAAAACGATATTAACTCAGAAAGTGTATTAATGTACTTAATCGGGTCAGATGAAAAAAGATCAACTGATTTTGTTATAATATGTTGGATTTTCGCGTCTTTATCTCCATTAAATTTGCTTTTATACAGGCTTCTTAGAATCTCTTCATTAGATGATGAGTATTTGTTAATGAGGTATTGAGTAGGATCTTCATCTTTGTATTCCATAATAAAAAAGAAACTCAATCACTAAATATTTTGGAACCAAAGAATTTATATGCAGAAATATGAACTTATAAATTGCATTAAACTCAGGAATGATAATATAATTTGTTAAAATCTTTCCGTATTTCAAATACGATATATTATTCAATGAAATACAAATAAAATGATATATTGCTAGATTTATTTTCAGATAAATACTTTTATATATTGCAATAAAAACAAAAAGATTTCCAAAACCTCCAAAAAAATTTGAAAATAAAAATATCAAGAACAATCTTGAAGAATTGAACTTCATTTTTTGATTTTCAAAAAAATTTTGGAATTTAAGAAGGATCAGAACTAACATAATATCGGATAAAGAAGTTATTCACTACAAATTCACAAAGAATTGTTAATATATGTTAGAGTTTTTTTATTAATTCATAACGAAACACATATTTTTAGGAGAAACAAAATAGTAGCTCATCTGAATGATCCAGAGATCTAAGGATATCACTTGATTTGAAGCAATTTCGATAAATTTTCATAAATCTCACAATAAAAACATTATTAATGCAATTTACAGATGAACAATGAATTACATTCTTGCATAGCAACAGTTTCATCTGATGCATTATGAATCAAATAGCATTTTTTGAAATTTTCTTGATTGGTTTCTCGAAACTCTTCTGCAATAGAAATGATTAACATCTCCTGTAGTTGCGCAACCCCTTAATCAGGTTTGCTTCAAAATGGAGTTTATCAGCGTCCAAAAGTTGCTTCAAAATTTTTCCCGGTATCTTCTCAAATAAATTTGAGACCAATATCATAAATATTCATCATAATACATTACTACTCAGCATAAAATTCATCGTCGTATATTTTCTGACATCCACTCTCAAATTCCAATATTTTTTTTTTGTAAATGGAAGATTGTGTTTTCAAACCAAAGGTCATACTTCTTGGCGACGGTGGAGTCGGAAAAACTAAATTTATATCAAGAATAAATGTAGATGGCATGGTAGTGAAGAAATATAGACGACTTGGCATTACAGAATATACATTTCCAGTATATACATCAATTGGCATGATAGAATATAATATATGGGACACATTTGGACAAGAGAGATTTGGTCTTCTCAGAGATGCATATTATCTTGATGCTTCTGCTGTTATTTTGTTCATTGATTTAACAAATCGTGATTCATATGTTCATTTAGCTCGCTGGATTCGCTTCGTTAAACAATTATGTCCAGATGCATGCGTTGTCGTCGCAGCAACGAAGATTGACGCTCCCAATCGAATTCTTCCAGTTGAAAAAATTTTATTCCATCAGAAACACGACTACCCATATATTGAAATATCATCATCGACTAACTACAATATCGCCGCACTATTTGAAGTCCTTACAAGAAAGTTAATGGGCGATATGAATATTATTATTTCCAAGCCGATCAAGCTTTGTCCACCCGAAAGCGATATAGATCAAGAGGCAATGGAGTCTTGCGAAAGAGCTCTCTCCTTGGCCCGAAAAAACAGTGTCGTAGTACCTAATAACGTTCAACAGACTCATAGAACCCTCGGTCCGCATTTTATGAACGACACATTGGAATTTGAAGAGGATTTAATCCGCGATTTGAACTAATTAATTTTATTTACTTAGTTTATACTAATAAAATACATGTTTTTATTGCAAAAACGCTTATTCTTTCTTTTATAATGTTTATATAATACATATTTATCAATATCTTTTTTATTCGAATTATATTTTTTATGTTCGTCCTTTTCATCGTCACGATCAATGAACGGAAGAATACATTACACTGAAAGACCAATACTTTTACTAATAACATCCTGAAAATATGAATAATGTAAACTGTATTCTGGTAAAAAAGGGGGTTGGCGTCCTAAGGCGTCCTAGTGTAAATTTCTCAAAATTGTGATATTTACATCACATTTTTGAGAGGTTTATGGGCGTCCTAAGGGAAAATTGAATAGCTAGGGCGTCCCGAATTTTCATTCTAAGATTTAAATATATTATTGCTGCATGCTAAGTTCGGTCAACGATAGAAATTGAGTGGAAATTAATCATCGAGGAAGTACGATTATGTAAAGTAAAAAAATGTTGTGGGATTTTTAATATTATATATTATTTTATAATAAAATTTTTTTGAGTCATTTTAAGAAGCACATATAATTTTTTGAATTTAAAAATTAAAGTAGTGTCAAACGAATTTATCACTTAATTTAATACTCAGATTTCTTAAAATTAATGAAAAAAAGGTTTTCTGAGAACTTTTGAGAATTTTTCAAATTCCATTATTGAAAATATATAGGTATTGTATGAAATTCAAACTCTATATTTATTAAAATTCTAAATTTTTAATAAAATAACTTTTCAGAGGAATATGATTTTGAATGGTTGATTAATAAGTATAAAAATGTCTACGATTTTAAGGAGGAAATTGTTCCTTATGAGGTATACATCATAACTATATACCTCATAAGGAACAATTCCTCTTGATAGCTGGAAAACTTTCTCTGAATAACTTATCATTTGGAGAAAGTTTCCCAGCTATCTATTAGAAACTAAAGGCTGTGAGGCACTAATATATAATCAGTGCCTCATAGCCTTTAGTTTCTTATTAAAAACGAGAAAACTTGTTCGAAATGATAAACAATTTCGAACAAGTTTTCTCGTTTTAAGGAGGGAATTGTTCCTTATGAGGTATACATCATAACTATATACCTCATAAGGAACAATTCCCTCTTGATATCCTGGATATTTTTGAATATATTTTTTTAATTAAAGTTCTCAAAAGTATTATCAAAAGTGATTTTTTAAAAATATCTCCAATTAATTAACTAATTAAAAGTATTATATTTTTAAAATTAAATAGTTTTTCAATTTTTTTGAAGGAATTGAGATACTTCCCACGACAATAAAATTGAGAGGTTTACATTATGACTGATCTTAGCATGCAACATTATATACTTAAGTATAATACAAGCAATATAAAAATTAAATTTTTATTATGTTAACTTATAAGAAATTTTTTTGAATTATCGTTGATTTATTGTAATCTTTCCAGGCTATACTTTTGAAATCAACTTTACCTGTCATACGCATTAATGTAGTAGATGTCCAGGTGTAGCTATTATATCCCAGCAACATTGGTATTTTATCATTGTAAGATATCAAAATGAAGCGTTTTTTCAGATATAATTTTTCGTAAATTTTTCAAAAATAAGATGGTAAAAAAGCCTCGACTTGCTCGAAAAATAACAATTTTTTACTTGTAAAAATAACCCTTTTACAGCATGGGCAGCTATTCAATCACTATTTCTTTTTCTAAAAGTATATTTTTCAAAAAAATTAAGATCAAATTCGACAATTTCTTGATGAAAGCAAAAATATTACACATACTTCTAGATGCATGGGATAAAATATGCAATTATTCAATCAATTCGCATGATTTGAAAAAAAAATCTAAATTTGATAAAAATGTAGAAATTTTTTATTTTTAACTTGAGATTCGATTTTTTTGATCCAATTTGTGAATTTTTTTTGATCGGAATTTCAATTAATTTGTTGATCAAAAATGACCTCACAATGTTTGATCATAAGTGAAGTCATCTTCATGGGTATTTAGAAATTCCAAGAGAAATTGCTTATTTCTCGCAGATGTAATATCTGAGAAAATCGAATTTAAATATTCATAGAAACCCAAATCATTCTCCGGTTCGAATAATTCATCTGTTGCTTTTTCTGTTTTTTCTATGAATTTTAATAATTTGATTAATAAATCTTCATCAGGAAGAATTATTGCTGCATTTGTGATAAAATTCCATATTGAGGTAATATGGCAATAATTACATTTATAAAATGTAATTTTATCCAAAATTTTTTGGCAAATTCGCATAATAGCATTAATATTTGAAGCTGAGATTAAACCTGTGATTACTTCTGTAACTTTTGGAAAATCATCGCAATTTAATATCTCTTTATATTGAATTGAGAAATAAAAAAAATCAAATGGATTCATTTCTTCAATTTCAAGGAGATTGTAAAAATTGATAGAAGTGTTATTGCAACAAATTGTATTTGCAGCAAAAAAGTAGTATATGAGAGCGGGTTGTGTGACTTTTTTTGTAAACGTAAGAATTCATACAATATTGAACGATTTTGTATCATTTTTTTTAACATATGAAGTAAAAAATGTATGATTCTTACGGTTTTTATTCTTACGTTTTTGAATAAATCAAGATTTAAAAAATTTTCAAAATTGTAAGACATTTACACTCAGCCCATACATAATGAAATATATTTCATCTTTTATAAAAGAAGCTATATATATATAGATGATGTCAGATATTCCGCGATTAATTAAACATTGTTTAAATCCTGAATGGAATCAACGGAGTCATAATCAAAGACCTCATAAACGGTAAAAAAATTAGAAGCTAATGATTATTTGAATTTATGAAATCAATTATTTGATTCATTCTTTCTTCAATCTCTTCTATTCTTTTTGTTAAATCATCAATTTTCATTAATGAGGTGATTCTTGATTGAGGAATAGATTTCAAACTAACCACTCCTTTTATTTTTGAAATTTTGAATCCATCAACTTTAAACATTTTATTCAATTTACATGTTGTCAATTCTTCAAATAATTTTTTATTATTAGCATAATAGTCATTAAATTCTTCAACAGATGAAAAAATTTTTATTTCAGTAATTGGTTTAACAACGTTTATTTTTTGTTGAACATTTTCACTTTCACTTATTTCATCCACCTCTGTTTCATTTATTTTTAAAATCGGTTTCATTTATCATTAAATAAAAATTAGAATATAAGTGATGAAATATATTTTTTAATTAATATTAAATCAGAAATGGCGGCAGGATTCTTTAAAAAATTATGGGATGGAATTAAGAAAGCTGCGGGTTGGGTTTATAAAAAGATTATTAAACCCGTTGCAAACTTTTTGGCACCAGTAGCGAAAACGGCAGGAACTATCATAGGTGGAGTATTAGGTACTAAAGCAGGTAATCCGGCGATGGGAGCACAAGCAGGTAACGCAATTGGTGGAATAGCTGAAGGAATACTTAATAAAATAGGGGGTAGATAGTGGAAAAATAAATAAATATTATTTTTATCTTAGTATCGGTTGTAGTCTTTGATAAACTTTTTCTCCTTTATTTAAAATTTCTCTTATTGGGGCAGCTTTTGGCGTTATTGATTCAGCAACGTCACTAATTGCTTCTTTATTCTTAAATATCCAATTTGCTCCCTTCTTCAATGTTTCCCAAACTTTACTCGCCCCTCTTTTTACTCTATCCCACAGTTTCTTAAATATACCTGCAGCCATAGTTGATTATTTCATTAAAATTAAAAATTCATTTTCATCTTTTAATTTTGATTTTTTATTTATTAATAAATGACGACTAACTATTTAGTGCCAAAAACTAAACCAATTAATGGAAATGTGTTTCATTCATTCGAAAAGATAAATGAAATATTTGCAAAGAATGATGGTAGAAGATATTATAGAGAACTTGAAAGTTCATGCTATGACTCTGATGCTCCATATTTTGATGATAAACAAACTCATTTAAGAATTACAAATCCGGCTCATGATGTGAACCAATTAGGTGACACATATATTAAACGCAAAGTTAAAGCAACTCTAGTTTCAAATAAAGCTTTCACATGTGATGCCGCTTTTAAATGCATGCGTTTATTCGTTGGCTACAAATCATCAAATCAAAGCTTTAAACAATTAGAAGTAGAAACCGAAAGAGGTGATGCCGGTTATCTTCAGATGGATTGCGCCCGTGAATCTTCGCATTTGCAACATATAAACCAAAATCAGAAAGGAAAGTTAAAAAGTTTGTTCATTCGTTATATAATAATGTTCAAAAATATGATAACTCAGTATGTGGTAAATATATTGACCCTTCAGAAGTTTTCAAGAGAGCAAATGAAGAAGTTAATGTCACTTTTGATATGATTATTCCGGTAAATGATTTGTTAGCATTTCAGGCGTTCGATGATTATCCTAAATCATTTGGTGATATCATTCTTAAATATTATGTTTTCAGGGATACTTTAGTATTTTGTCAGGTTGACCCGTTAAGAGTTGCTGATTTACAAAATTACGTTTATGAAAAGATAACTGATGAAAATTATGAAAAGATTATGAATCATGTTTATAAATATGATCGCAAATTCCAACAAATCGGACTTCCTACCAAATTAATTACAAGCTTAGCTGCTACATCTGCTGACGCAACAGTTGATAGTGTTATTATTTCATGCACAAAGATGGAAGTTTTAGAGGATAAATGTATTACACCAGGATATGGTTTAATTGAAGAATCAGTTAAAGCAATACCACGTTTATTTAGTAAGGAAGATCCATTCATGATTCCAGCTCAACATATTGACGTTCGTTCACTAAATGGAGGTTGCATAACTCCTGAAGGTATTAGCTCAGATTTCTCATATGCTCTTCATAATGTTACAGATGTTGTGTTAACATTTCCGAAGAATGCAATGCAAAGAACGGTTTTAGAAAATCCAATGCTTCGAGGTCTTCAGGTCACTATAGATTCCAGAAACTTCCCCGATCAAGCGATGACCACGGTGGGTGACATATTCTTTACACGTATGCTTCAAGCTTCTGATTTAGATGGAGTGAATGAATGCACGGAAGAATACGAGGACTCATTAACTAGACCGCTGAATGATGATGGCGTCCCATTAGCTAGAACATGGAAAGACCAAACTTCATTCTTATGCACTATTCCAGTTCAACGTGATGGAGCGGGTATATTCTTTGATGGATTAGAAACTTTCAACTCACAAGTTACAGTACAAGTGAAAGCTTATCCAATCATTCAGGGTGAAAATGACACTTACTGTTCAAAGGTGACAAATCCTCCTCAGGTTTGGTTTACTAGGACTACATATTGGACATGGACACCGGATGAAGGTTTGAAATATCATCCAACAGGTACACCACCACAGTATAGAAGTTCATATGATGAAATATTGATGAATAGAAATGTTTAAAATTATAAATTTATTTTTGATTAAATGGATTTAAATTCATCCACCCCTTATGAAGAATTAGCAGGAGTATATAATACATACGTAGATGATATGATTAATGAAGCATTGAGTGATAATAGAAATGCTCTATCTAAGGAAAAATTAATGAAAATTCCATATTCTGAATGTTACTTAAATTCAATCACTGCAGCAATTGGTAAACAGAATAAAGGTAAAACATTAACGATATTAAAACAAATTATCATTATTGCTAACACTTCCCCCATTCACATGTGTTAATTTATATCAACCGTTCAGGTTCACCTTCAGATGATACATTTGAATCTTTAAAGCATTTAATCAAAATTCCAATTATTTATTTATCACAAGAAGAAGCAGAAGATTATTTAAAAAACTTTTTAATGTATAAAGAATTATATAATACAATCAAGAAGCAAGGATTAGAGGATAAAATTATTGATAAACAACGGGATGAATTATTTGAAACACTTTCTATTTCAAATTTGATAAAGAATTTTTGCATTCACTCATTTTTCTAGATGATGCAGTGAAATCAAAACTAATAACAAATGAGAAATCATATTTTAATCAGTTATTAACTCAATGTCGACACATTCAGTGTTCATTCTTTATGGCTGTTCAATATTTCAAAGCATTAAGCACAAACATTAAATCAAATCTATCAACACTTTTCATTTTCAGTGGTTTAGTCGTCAACAGTTGAACGTTATGCTTTATCAAGTGAATTTACCAATGAGCATTAATGAACTTTACACACAATATCAGCAATTAGGTGAACATGGAAAAATAATAGTTGATTTAAATAAAGGAAGTGTTAAATTTGATTAACTTTTTATAATTAATTTTTATTTTTTATTTATAATTAAACATGACAGAAATAGCAAATCTTCTACAGGTTCCATTAAAACAAGGGACAAACAAAAGGGGTGCATATAATAGAACTATGAAAGTTCCTGATGGAATGAAAGAATTAGTTCATATTGTTGCTGGTCTTCAAAAAGATGTTAAACAAATGAGAAACGTTTTAACATTACCAGAAGCTCAAGCATATGCCAAACGTCATGGTCCAAATTGGGAAGCACACGAAGCAGACATTACGGGTCCAAATGGAAAACCTGATGGTATAAATGAAGTTTTCGTTACTGATGGTCAAGGTAATATTAAAGTCATAAATGGTTACAAATTAACTATATCTGATTATCCTAAACGTAAAGCATATAATGAACGTTATCCTATGCAATTTGATGAAAATGGAAAAGCTGTTAAACAATACATTGGAGAAGGTGAAAATGGTCCAATTAATTCATACCGTCATAATCCATATTCTTATTTCAATGAGGAATTAAATGCTATTGAAGAGGGACCGGATGGATTACCACGATATTCTAACCAGTTTGATGGTCAATATGCAAATATTAGACCCGAAATTTCAGCTAAGAAATTCTTTAAAGTTGCTTTATTTGATCCAGTTTTCGCAAATGTTAAAGATGAACTTAAACAGCAATTTCAACCAATTATAGTAGCAAGAATTGCATCAGGTGCTTTATCTCAAGCATTCAAAGATTTAATTAAGAAACCATTATATCAGCAACGAGGTTTAACTTATGATTTAGTTAAGGAATCAGATAAAAGAAAATTTGAGAAATCAGATGATTATAAGAATGCAATTAATGAATATATTCGGTCTATTAATTTCGATGAAACAGCTAAAAATCAACTTCATGAACAAATACAGGGAATAATATAGGGTGTCCAAAGGTGCATTTAGCACAGCGCTCTATATGAGACTATTAAAGGAGATATATGCTGATTATAAATATATAATAAAAAAATATGAATATATGTATATGATGAGTATGTTGTATTTTGGCGCCATGCCGGGATATAAAATGAATTTTGAGACAAGAGGCGGTTTCGCGGGAAATTTTGGCGGGATTTTTTTCATTTTTTTAATGAATCATAAAGAAAACATCCTCGCTCTTGCAAAAAAATGCAAAGACTGTAAAAAAATCTACGAGACATTGGTAAAATGCTTCGGTATGGATGCTCCTAGCTATTCCACTGTAACGTATCATGTTAGGATGTATCACTTCATGAACAAAAAGGCGCCCATCATAAAAATTGACAAAAAATCGCCGGATCAAAGAAAAATCAAAGCAATTCTTCAAGCGCTAGATGAAGACCCAAGAGCATCACTCAGAAGGATAGAGGAGATGACAAAGATACCACGTACAACAGTCAGTTATTATCTGCACAATTATTTGAACTACAAACTAGCGTATACACGTTGGGTTCCGCACAACCTTAATTCAGTTCAAAAAAAATCTAGAGTCCAATCTTCGAAAGAGCTCCTCTCTATATTGGGTGCGTATCAATCCAAGAAGTTTCGCTTTTTAGTAACAGGGGACGAGTTTTGGTTTCAATATGCAACAGAAGCCAAAATCATGTGGATCGCGAAGGATGAAAATCCACAAACATTCCCGAAGAAAAAAATTGACACACCAATGATGATGTTGTCGGTTTTTTGGGGCGTGAATGGCATCATCGCAATTGATATTCTTCAAAAACCTAATACGATGAATGCTCAGTACCTAATTGACAATGTTCTTACTCAAATTATCAATTCTGATGAGTTTGAGAAATCCAAACAACAAAAACAAAAGTTTGCAATTCATTGTGATAATTCAAGAGTTCACAAAAGTCATAAGGTAATGAATTACTTGGTGGAAAACAATGTCAAAGTTGTTCCAAACCCAATTTATTCACCTGATATTGCACCCTCTGACTTTTATTTATTCGGCACGCTAAAAAAGAGAGCTGAAGGACGCGAATTCGCGAGTCCAGATGATCTTGAAAATTTTGTAAGAGAGCAATTTGAGCAATTTTCTCATGATGATTTAAAGCGTGTCTTTCAAGCCTGGATCGATCGCTGCGACCGCGTGATTGAATCCAATGGTGATTATATTTAAATAAACTTTATATATATGTAACTTGTTTATTTCTATTCGCAGTATTCAGGTTTGTGCTAAACACACCTTTGGACACCCTATAGATTCAAAAGTTCCAGCAAAATAAAAGTTTAAATATATTTTTTTTATTCGAATATAAATGAGAAGACGTTTCACTAGTCAAAAGAACACTAACGCAAAAGCAGAGATTACGGTTGGTTATAACGTAAATGATGATAAATCACGAATTATTCAAAATGTTAAAGTTAATGTTAGCCCTGAATTAACAAGGTCAGCAGCTCAACCAAATTTATTAACTCGTGACTTACCGAAGAATGAGGGGAATGAAGAAAACCATGAGAATGGAGACCCAATCGTTTTATCTGAACCTGGTAAAGAACCTGTTGAAATTCCCACTTATCCAACATACCCCCCACCTCTTTCATCAAACATCGAGAACCCATATAAAATAGACATTAATTCTGAATTAATGAAAATTTACCGTGATATAATAATTAATAATTATGATTCAATAATAAATTTAATTGACCAATCCGGTTTAATTATTTTACCTTATGAATCATTAATTCACATTATCGCCATTCTTTGTGATGTTCAAGATTCAGACGTTAAGATTCAATTTTTCATAGATGATGAGGTTTCATGCTGCGGAACAGTTGCAAAAATAAATCCTATAAAGGATATTAGCACAATTAAGATATCAAAGAATGGAACAACAACAGAACTTCATTTAACATATAATGATATTTATAATAAAATAGTTGATGAATATAAAATATCACTTGAAAAATTCTTTGTTAAGGCTATTTAATATTCAAGCATTAACATTATTGAATAATAATCCTTTGAATCATAATCAATAATAATTGACCTTTCACCAGTTTCTATCGTTTGTTTTATTTCTTTTTGTTCCCCACTATCCGGATCGGTCATTGTAATTGTTTTTGTTATAGTATCAGCTTTATCTTTAACTTCAATCTTTTTTCCATCGGGATATTTAAACCAAAATTCCAAAAATTCGATATTGTCAATCTGTTCATATTTTAATCTATCAATTGCATTTTTAATACCATCTGAAAATCTTATGAAATGGTCATTATATGGGTTTGATTGAACTAAATTTGAATGAAGTGAAATATAACCTGTTGATGAATATGACATTGACTCATATTTTCTGAAAACACTAAAATTTATAACATGAATGAATTTCTTATTCGTTGAATTTATGAATTCTTGAGGTAATCTTATTCTAGTTTTATTTATCACTGGAAAATAACGCTTTACCATATTTTTAATCGTAATAAAAATGTCAATTATCAATATTATTTCGAATAATAGCTGTGAATTAAATTTAACAGTTAGCGGAATTTATAATGTTACTCTCGTTTCTGTGAGTGGTAAATTTAATCCCATTCTTTTAGACCATTCAGATTATATATCATTTATTAAAGATGACCATGAAAAAACGTATGATATGTATATAAATAATGTGATAGCGAAATGGGATATTAACATGATTTTAAGTTATTTAAATGAATCATTTATCGTATGGTATGAAGAAAATTTTAAATCAAAACCCGATAAACTTTTTGAACTTGATGAAATAAATAACCTTATTAAATTCCCGCTGAAAATTAAATTTTGTACTCCTCATCTTCGTTCATTGTTGGGGATATTAAATTTTGAAAAAGATGTTGGGGATGTTTTGTATTCTGACACTGGTTCCAATTTCATTTTAATCAAATGTGATAAAGTTAATACCCCAATGAGATTTTCACATCAAACATTAGACCCTAACTCTTACCCATCAATACAAAACATTTTATCCATCAACTTAAACACATTTTCTTTATCATATCCGTTTCAATTATCCGGGAATTCATTTATTCTTCATTCAAAAGATTTATCAAATATTAAATTTAGAATAACTGACCTATTTGATTGTGATTTAGAATTTATGAATGAAATATTATGGCAATTTCAAATAGAGAAAATAGCTGATGAGATAACGGATTAAATATTTATTTTTAAATCGTAATAAATGATTAAACAACAGCAACTTAAGGCACAAAGCGCCCAAGTCCTTCAGACCATTACATACGCCATATATGCATATAATTCAAAGACGGCAGAACAAACACAAAGGTTGAAATATGGAGATTTGGAGATAGTATTGAAAAATGAGCGTTTCGAATTCGTTTGCAAAGGTGGTGCAGTGATATCAAATATAAAAGAAATTTTATTTATGAATTCAAAAATTAAAGGGATAACGGATGATATAACATCAATTCCACCAGAAGAACAAAGATATTACGCATTAAATGCATTTCCTAAAGTTTTGAAGATTGGAAGATTTAATTTAAATGAGGAATTCATAAAAGGTTTCCTAAATGACATAATGAAGAAAGTAGATAAGGAATATGTGGATAGTGAGTTAAATAAGAAGGCAAATTTGGTTTATGTGGATGAAAAAGATAATGAAATTAAAGAAAAGGTTGAATGGTATCATGAATGGACATTGGAGACTTTTAAAGTTAAAGCTGATAAAGGATGGGTTTCAGGATGTTTAGACCTTAAAGCGGATAAAACTTATGTTAATGATGAGTTAATGAAGAAAGCGGATAAAGAACATACACATAACTTCTTCTCAACTGTTTCTATAGAAAATATTGAAGGAACGGTCGAGGGAACTGATGGGGATGCATTATATTATAAACCTCCTAACTTTCCACAAGGTTTAACATCGAATGAAAACATAACAACGAATAAAAAAATTAGCTGTAAAAATGTTTATGTCATGAGTAGTGAAAATAATGTTAAATTCACTGCTCAAGATTTATATGATAAGAAAGCCGACAAAACTTATGTTAGCGATGAGTTAGAGAAGAAGGCAGATAAGGAATATGTTAACGAAATATACCAAAGTTTGATAGGAACAACAAAAAATATTGAAACTATTGTTGGTGACTTTTCTGTCAATGAAGAAAATAAATATTTTAGATGGCAGTTTGTACAGTCCTTAAAAAATGGTACACGGTGTAAACTCATTCCGAAAAATAACAATGAAATATATGTAAGCTATAAAAAGAATAATGGTACACAAGTTAAAGTTCCATTAGATAACAACTGTTACTTAAACTTATATGGAGACGAACAAAAGAAATATTTAAGAGTTTATGAAATGGCAGATATGACATTGCCTAACCCAGCTCCAGCACCATATTATTATGACTATGGAGATGACGACAGAACACCACATGTAGATGAACAAAAGCTAACATTATATTTAGATTATTATAGATATAAAAGATATAATGCAATAGAAAAAACGAGAATAGTATATTATTATACAGATGACAGAAATAAATATTATAGTCAAGATTTTACCTACCCTGAAAACATAAGATTATATTATAAAAAATATTCTGACACAAACCAAAAAAAACCTGAAATAGTTGCATTATATCTTAAGTTCAAAAGAGACAATCCTATAATATCTCATATGTTTGATTTAATGAACCCAGTAGGTTCTATTTATACATCTATGGATGCAAGAGGTCCTCAAGCAATGTTTGGTGTTGGTGCATGGGAACAAATAGTCGACAAATTTTTGTATTGTGCAAACTCTTCAAAGGAAACAGGTGGAAGTAAAACGATTTCAGGTGAAAATTTACCTGCACACAGTCACTACATAGATTTAAGCACATCTCAAGCAGGTTGGCATAAGCATAGATATTGGGATTGGTCAGGAATGACAAAAGGTAAAGGATATGATGTTAAAGACGACGTTAAGTTTGCTATAAATTGTTACTGGAGTGACACTCAGGGAGAAGGAAACCATACACATTTCGTTTCAGGATATACACAAACAACAGGACAAAGTAAAGAATACATGCCACCTTACATGACAGTTTATGCATGGTATAGAGTTCAATGAACGCTCAATGTTTGTGAAACAAACTTTAGAACGGACTGAAAGTCCTGAGCTCCAAAAGAGTGAACGGTATAATTTAAATTTTTATTTTTATCATAAATGACAAAATTAATTAAGCCAACTATTTCTAAATTAATGATACCAATGAAATCATTTCGTGGAGTACTTATCCCAGGTTCTTCACAATTAGCTGGGGCAAGTGTTGTGACTCAAGGTGGAACATTAGCGAATCCATTCAAATTATTAACTAAAGATGAACTTAATAAAATGATGGCAAAATAACTGATAACAAAATTTTATTTCACTACTACCATGTTACCGGGTGCTACCATGTTGTCATGTTGACGACATGACATTGTGTCAACAACACGAGAGGAAGGCAATAATGAATTATTTTTGAAGAACTGAAGGTGCTACCATGTTACCGGGTGCTACCAGGTCAATTAATTTCTTTTAAAAATAGTGACAACATGACATTTTGACAACAACACGAGAGGAAGGCAATAATGAATTATTTTTGAAGAACTGAAGGTGCTACCATGTTGTCATGTTGACGACATGACATTGTGTCAACAACACGAGAGGAAGGCAATAATGAATTATTTTTGAAGAACTGAAGGTGCTACCATGTTACCGGGTGCTACCAGGTCAATTAATTTCTTTTAAAAATAGTGACAACATGACATTTTGACAACAACACGAGAGAAAGGCAATAATGAATTATTTTTGAAGAACTGAAGGTGCTACCATGTTGTCATGTTGACGACATGACATTGTGTCAACAACACGAGAGGAAGGCAATAATGAATTCGAATCATACTTTATAAAGCTTCATTTACAGGTATTTCATCATCAGTAAATGAATCCTCATTATCGTTTGGTTCAACCTGTTTATATAATCCTTTCATTTCTTCTTTCAAAACATAACACCATGTTTGTTTACCATCTATTCTTCTATGTTTCCTATCACATTTATCCTTAATGCTCATTTGGAAATTCTTGTCTTTCATGTCTGATGGTTTGCAGAATAGAGCATTTTCACACGTCATACCTGCACACAATTCATCATAATGTGTATTTATCCATACATCTAAAGGATTTGTTGATAATTCAATTAAATCTTGTTTGGCTTCAGTCATCGGTATGATTCGTACATTAAATGATGAAAGGTCATATTGCATAAAATACGTCAGTAAATTATCATAAAATTCCTTTGTGCATGAATCCATTAAATTCTTGAAGTAATCAAATTGACCCTTGAATTTACCATTAACCCTTAAAACCACATATCTTCTGTCTCCAACTTCAATTTTGACAGGGTAGACGTTATTAGTTACGAAAATGAAGTTTGCAACGTTCTGGGCAGTTCTTCTGGGTTGATTCTTTTCATTAATTCTAATCTCATTATCCGTTATAATTGATTTCAAAGCGTTGAAGTTTGCGAGTCTGTCTTCACCTACATTCTTGAGTTCATTAAGTACAAGAAACATTTTATTTTCAACTACTGAATTGAAATTACCCGTTAGCTCACCTATTTCAGTAATGTTTTTGCATGAATAACCAGCGAGAAGTTCAGAAATAATGTCTGTGAATCTGTTTTTACCTGTTCCCTGAAGTCCTTTCAAAATAATTGCTGTTTCATTCTTGATTCCAGGATGTTGAATCATTGATGCAATCCAGCCGAGAAGGTATTTATACACTTCATCGTTATTATCACAAATGGCTTCTTTAATGAAATTCATAAACATCTCAATTTTTGAGTAATCTGGTTTTTCGAGAACGTTGTATTTATAACCCTGAAACGTTGAGAAAACATCTGGAGAATCAGATTTAAAGCAAACACCCTTAACGGTTAATGAAGACAATTGATTTAGTAGTACATCCCATGCTGTTATTGTTTTACCTTCTTCTTTAAATAATTTAATCATTTTAAGTGACTCTTTCATGTTTGATTGAAGAACGAATGATATTTGATTCATTTTATCGTGTATGTTGTAATCTTTCTGAATGAAGTATTTATTTCCACAATCTACAAAACGGATTACACGTGATAAATCCTCAATTACTTCAGAACTGTTTTTATACTGATAATTTTCAGCCTTGCGTCTAATATCTGTTATCAAAAACGAGTCATCAAGTTTTATATCAAATGTTATTTTTGGCTTACGTAATAAAGGTAAAACGTATTCATCATAATATTCCTTTTGATATAGTTTTAGAATCTTCACCAAAACAAATGGAGAAGTCATTAAATGTGCATATCTATTACGTGCTTTATCAAAATTACTTTTTGCATTTTCTGTTAAACTGCAGAAGTTATAAACGTTATCGTATGCTTCATTAATTAAATGATTAGGTAACGAATTAATTGCTTGAAACAGTGTGAATAATGTTATTTCTTTTTCTAAATTCCTGTTTCCACCGTCATTATGTACTTCAAAATCACAGATGCCATCAACTATGCTCTGGGCAAGTTTATCGTCAATGTTTACATCTTTGTTTTCATTCATGATAGTCTTTATTTCTTCGTTCTGTTCAACTTTTACCTTAATATTCAAATCATTTAATATATCATTCACTGTTCTGGTTAATGTTGAATCATAACTTCCACGAATGAATGAGTATGTATTGATTGATTCTGTTGCATTCTTGCGAACTCTTGAATCAGCCATAACTACTAAAGAACGCTTTGAATCATCAATAGAAGTCATGATATCAATATCATAATCATTGCAGGAATAGCATTTAATCATTCTGTTCGAAACTGCATAGAAGAAATTAGTGTTGCAATAAATGTGAAGACCTCCAGAAGCGGTTTTAACGATAACATCTTTATCCGAAAGTTTTGATAAAATGTCTTTTCTAACCGTTTCTTTAAGTTCATCATTGTACGATTTATTGATATCAACATCTATAATCGTTAAATTTGGAATTTTATTTACTAATAAAGCCATACCAGTTTTCCTTCCTCTTCCTCCATCATGTTTGAGGTAGTTGTGTAAATCAATCATGTTTTCACCAATTCTTTCGTTGAGGGTTTTAGTTTCTGCCACAACTAATTCCTCAACTAATGAATCAATAACTTTTTCATCAGAAACGATATAGTTGCTGTTGTTGTTTGTTGCCGTCATTTATATAGGAATAAAAAAATAAAAATAATTTTAAAACTAACTTTATTTTTGGGCTGTATCAAATTTCCTATGTTGTTGTCAAAATGTCATGTTGTCACTATTTTTAAAAGAAATTAATTGACCTGGTAGCACCCGGTAACATGGTAGCACCTTCAGTTCTTCAAAAATAATTCATTATTGCCTTCCTCTCGTGTTGTTGACACAATGTCATGTCGTCAACATGACAACATGGTAGCACCTTCAGTTCTTCAAAAATAATTCATTATTGCCTTCCTCTCGTGTTGTTGTCAAAATGTCATGTTGTCACTATTTTTAAAAGAAATTAATTGACCTGGTAGCACCCGGTAACATGGTAGCACCTTCAGTTCTTCAAAAATAATTCATTATTGCCTTCCTCTCGTGTTGTTGACACAATGTCATGTCGTCAACATGACAACATGGTAGCACCTTCAGTTCTTCAAAAATAATTCATTATTGCCTTCCTCTCGTGTTGTTGTCAAAATGTCATGTTGTCACTATTTTTAAAAGAAATTAATTGACCTGGTAGCACCCGGTAACATGGTAGCACCTTCAGTTCTTCAAAAATAATTCATTATTGCCTTCCTCTCGTGTTGTTGACACAATGTCATGTCGTCAACATGACAACATGGTAGCACCTTCAGTTCTTCAAAAATAATTCATTATTGCCTTCCTCTCGTGTTGTTGTCAAAATGTCATGTTGTCACTATTTTTAAAAGAAATTAATTGACCTGGTAGCACCCGGTAACATGGTAGCACCTTCAGTTCTTCAAAAATAATTCATTATTGCCTTCCTCTCGTGTTGTTGACACAATGTCATGTCGTCAACATGACAACATGGTAGCACCTTCAGTTCTTCAAAAATAATTCATTATTGCCTTCCTCTCGTGTTGTTGTCAAAATGTCATGTTGTCACTATTTTTAAAAGAAATTAATTGACCTGGTAGCACCCGGTAACATGGTAGCACCTTCAGTTCTTCAAAAATAATTCATTATTGCCTTCCTCTCGTGTTGTTGACACAATGTCATGTCGTCAACATGACACATGGTAGCACCTTCAGTTCTTCAAAAATAATTCATTATTGCCTTCCTCTCGTGTTGTTGTCAAAATGTCATGTTGTCACTATTTTTAAAAGAAATTAATTGACCTGGTAGCACCCGGTAACATGGTAGCACCTTCAGTTCTTCAAAAATAATTCATTATTGCCTTCCTCTCGTGTTGTTGTCAAAATGTCATGTTGTCACTATTTTTAAAAGAAATTAATTGACCTGGTAGCACCCGGTAACATGGTAGCACCTTCAGTTCTTCAAAAATAATTCATTATTGCCTTCCTCTCGTGTTGTTGACACAATGTCATGTCGTCAACATGACAACATGGTAGCACCTTCAGTTCTTCAAAAATAATTCATTATTGAATAACCTGAAACCATTAATGATAAAATAACGATAACATCAAATTTTATTTTTATATGAATGAATACCCCACAAGCTCAAAATTTACCACGAATCATAACAAGGGAAGAAAGAAATAATCGAAAAATTAAAAACAACAAACCACGAAAAACAGAGAAGATGAGGAATAAAAATTAAATTTGGATTGAGTTTAAAAATTCATCTTTATTAAATTCATCTCTTCCAATCAATTTATTTATTCTATTAAATTCTTTTATTTTTGCTTCACTCAGTTTAAGGATTGAACGGTAAGTTTTTAATTTTTCGATTATTTCTTTCCTCTCTTTATCGTTTTCAGCCACACCGCATTGCGGCTTCTTTTTGTAATAGCATATTTTTGATTTAATTTTGTTTAGTTTCTTTTTATATTCATTGTCCGGACTCTTGGCTGCTTCGTTGTCACTCATTTCTTACGAAATAAAAAAATTAAATATTATTTAAATATAATGGAGTAATAAAATAAATCGGAATTTCTATTAATGTATTGTTAACCTCAACTAATACATTACCGTTAATATATCTAACAAATTCAGCTATAGGGTGTCCAAAGGTGTGTTTAGCACAAACCTGAATACTGCGAATAGAAATAAACAAGTTACATATATATAAAGTTTATTTAAATATAATCACATTGGATTCAATCACGCGGTCGCAGCGATCGATCCAGGCTTGAAAGACACGCTTTAAATCATCATGAGAAAATTGCTCAAATTGCTCTCTTACAAAATTTTCAAGATCATCTGGACTCGCGAATTCGCGTCCTTCAGCTCTCTTTTTAGCGTGCCGAATAAATAAAAGTCAGAGGGTGCAATATCAGGTGAATAAATTGGGTTTGGAACACTTTGACATTGTTTTCCACCAAGTAATTCATTACCTTATGACTTTTGTGAACTCTTGAATTATCAAAATGAATTGAAACTTTTGTTTTTTGTTGTTTGGATTCTCAAACTCATCAGAATTGATAATTTGAGTAAGAACATTGTCAATTAGATACTGAGCATTCACCGTATTAGGTTTTTGAAGAATATCAATTGCGATGATGCCATTCACGCCCCAAAAAACCGACAACATCATCATTGGTGTGTCAATTTTTTTCTTCGGGAATGTTTGCGGATTTTCATCCTTCGGGATCCACATGATTTTGGCTTCTGTTGCATATTAAAACCAAGACTCGTCCCCTGTTGCTAAAAAGCGAAACTTTTTGGATTGATACGCACCCAATATAGAGAGGAGCTCTTTCGAAGATTGGACTCTAGATTTTTTTTGAACTGAATTAAGGTTGTGCGGAACCCAACGTGTATACGCTAGTTTGTAGTTCAAATAATTGTGCAGATAATAACTGACTGTTGTACGTGGTATCTTTGTCATCTCCTCTATCCTTCTGAGTGATGCTCTTGGGTCTTCATCTAGCGCTTGAAGAATTGCTTTGATTTTTCTTTGATCCGGCGATTTTTTGTCAATTTTTATGATGGGCGCCTTTTTGTTCATGAAGTGATACATCCTAACATGATACGTTACAGTGGAATAGCTAGGAGCATCCATACCGAAGCATTTTACCAATGTCTCGTAGTTTTTTTACAGTCTTTGCATTTTTTTGCAAGAGCGAGGATGTTTTCTTTATGATTCATTAAAAAAATGAAAAAATCCCGCCAAAATTTCCCGCGAAACCGCCTCTTGTCTCAAAATTCATTTTATATCCCGGCATGGCGCCAATATACATACTACTCATCATATATTTTCATATTTTTTATTATATTTATAATCAGCATATAATATTCTCCTTTAATAGTCTCATATAGAGCGCTGTGCTAAACGCACCTTTGGACACCCTATATTGTGTCAAATCTTCGTCTTCTTTTTGTCATTGATTTATCAGTTTTTCCATAATCGAGATGAATCAAAACTTTATCCCCCTGTTTAAAATTCATGAGCCCCAAATTAATTTGTTCACGTTTAACATCATTTAACCTTTCCATTTGTTTTCTAATATATTCCCATTCTTTGAAATATCATTTTTCATTTCCACTGGTTCATGTTTATAGTTCTATGCCATGTATTATTGTAATAATATACTAACTGTTGTATGATGGAGTCATGATTTCCATCCCAGTATATCTGACCGTTAACCCTAACGCATCTCTAAGAGTTCTCATTACCGCATCAACTATTTTATTATGAAACGTATATGGAGAAGATGAAAAGTAAAAATTAATTTGTGGGAAATAATGAGCCATAGCTGCCTGAAATCCTTTATCACCATCACCCTGATATTATCTACTCTTTCATGATCTAGTAAGTATTGAATAGCTCTTCTTGTTTCCTGTTCTGTTTTCCCTTTCACCGGAATGCAATATAAATATCTTGTGTTAATGTTAATGGCGAATAAATAAGTAACATTTCCTTTTGAATATTCTAAATGATCGATTTCGTATGAATATGGATATGGAGCAAATGAAGGGCGACTAAATTTTTCCTTTAACGGTTGAATTTTTGGGTCAATTGGTTTATTTAATATCTTGAAATCCTTTTTAAAATCTTTTTGCTTCTTTAATGTTTGAAATGGATATAATAAAGTGAATGATGAAGGATTAACTGAAGGAGGAGGAGGTACTACTGTTGGAGGTTTTGGTATTGCAAGTGGTTTAATTTTATCTGCTTTGATTTTGGATTTCATTCCCCCTTTCATTAATTCCGGATGTATTTTATTCATTTGTTTTAAATATGCTGTATATAAAGGTTTGATATACTTTCCCGCTTCGAGTTTATGTTGAAGGATGAATTCCAAAAGTTGATCTTCATTTAAAAGTTGGGTTGAACACGGTTTAACTAATGAATCATAAATTAAAGCTTGTGCTTCATTTATGGTCTGAATGACCTGGGCGTTTTGCACTTTTAACTTTTGTTTCTTTGTTTTTTGCAGCTCAGGATTATATAATTTATATAATTCATCAATATCTTCTTCTGTTAATACTTTATTTTTGAAATCTTTCAATTGTTTAAGTTGTGATTTAGTTTTTCCCTTTGCATATTCATTATTTTTAATTTTGTCTTTAATTTTAGAAATTATTTTATCATGATATTTCAAAATTTCATTTTTATAATAATGATAATAATAATCCATATCATCACCCGTTATATTTTCATCATATTTTTGGAGATATGCTTTTAATTCATAATAAGTAAGAAAATTTTGATTAAATACTAAATCATCAATTAAAATTTTTAAATCTACATTATCCATTTATATAAAAATAAAATAAATGTTTTAAGGGCGCCCACCTCTTTGATCAAGAATCAAAACCATTATTAACGGTTCCTTTTGTCTCTTCTGTGGCATTTCATTAAAAATAAAATTTTAAATTGTATTAAATAAACGGCATACAACATCCATTTTCACAACATACAGCCTTAGTGTGTGCTCCTGTTAATGCAGTCTTACCGATTGTTAAGCGAGTCATCGTCCTGTTTTTAAGTTGTAAATTAATATTCTGACCATCAAATATCACTTTATCATTTATTATATCCAAAT